TTCAGGATGGTCCTGAGACCTCCATCCGGAGCTAGCCACAGCCTACTCAGAATCAGGGGATTTGAAAGGCTTCCGTTCCTGACTTCTCTCCAGGCTGATTTTCTTGCGTGGCTTTTGTAAACACCACACCTGTTGATGGTTAGGCTGACTCCATCGCCACAGGGGGTCATTCCTGGAGGGGAATGCTTTAGCCACTTCAGATACAGTGGGCGAGGGAGCCACAGTGGGCGAGGGAGCCTCAGTGCTGAGGGTGGAGGGCAGCGCCCCACCCTGGGTCCGTGCTGTGGGCAGCTGAGAGCAGGAAGGAAGGGTGGGGTGAGCTGCTACCTGGAGATTGAGTGGCTCCTCCAATGGGATGGAGAGGCCAGTGCTCCAGGGCAGAATGGAATGAGAACTGCAGGGTTTCCTGGGAAGTTTTCCTCCTTGAGTCAGGGTTTCTCATCCAGGCTCAGGCAAGGACCTGGGCCTTAACATTCCTTATAAGGAATTCAAGTAGGCCTACTAGCAAACTCCTTTCTTGTGTTAAGGTTCTAGTCCCTCTATATCAACATGTTCCCCTTGAGAGTCTAGAGTTTTTTCGGTATTCGATTTTTTTGGTGTTAATTGAAGATAACAGTGTTAGTAAGAATTTCTTTTACTTTTCTTTTTTTTTTTTTGGAGAGGTTTTTGCTATAGTGCATGCACACTGACCAGAAAGACAGAGAGAGACAGATAGAAAGCGAGAAATCACCCCTTGGGGGCATGGCCACGCCTCAATCCCTTCTCCTCCATTCTCTCTGGATCCTGGGCACGCACGCTCTCGAGCCCAGCGTGATTTTAAGCCACCAGGTCCCATACTTGAACTGCTGTTGACTACATGGGAGTCCAGCAACATAGTCATTACGCCATCTGCTGGTCCCTTTCTTTTTTTTAAGGTTTTTGTCATAGTGTGTGTACTCTTGCTAGAGAGAGACAGAGAGGGGCAAAGTGATAAATCCTCCCCCGGGGGATGGCCATGCTGCAGTCTCTTCCATTCTCCTCTTGGGATATTGGGTATGCACCCACATTCCTGGTTTAGGACTTGAATTGTGGTCGGCCATGTGGGAGTCCAGTGCCTTATCCACCATGCCACCTGTTGGCCTCGGAATTTTTTTTTCTTTACCCATGATAGAACATGTGCAGAAACATGAGAGTGAAAGGGAGAGAGAGAGAGAGCGAGAAGTGCCCTCCCCAGGGTCTGCTAACACACGATGCCCTTCCTCTGGCCCTCTGGCTTATCAGATTTGGGCACCCGCATGTATGTCTGCAATGTTTAAGGCTAACCAGATCAGGGATTTGAACTTTAGTCACCAGGTGGTATTTGGTTTCTTTTGAGCAGAACATTATTCTGCACCACGATTGTTGCTGACCTTGAAGAAGAATTGTTCATGATTTTGTTCTTCTCATTCTGGGTCCACAGATATTTAAAAATTCAGACTGAGCTGAGAAAATGATGTGAGGATAAAGTAGACAATAGTAATTTTGCTTGAGGGTCTTTGACTTTCTTAGTAGTTCAGTGTGTTTGTTTCTATTTTCGTTCCTATTTTTATTGCTCTGTGGGCCAGAATACATATACAGATATTTCTTATTTTTCCAATTTCAGATTTTCCTTTGTGTTCTAAAATATACTCACTTTTGGTAAATATTCCATGACCACTTAAATAGAAGCAATCACTTAGAGAAGAGTTAATGAACTATGATCCATGGGCCACACATAATCCACAGCCTCTTTTTGTAAATACAGTTTTATTAGAACACAGCGATGATCATTTGTTTACGTGTTGTCCACAGCTTCCTTCATGCTACAAATATATGACCCACAAAGCCTAAACTACTTATCTGGCCCTTTGCAGACAGAGTTGCTGATCACTGACATAGAGTTTCTTAATGATGTGACTACTATTGAAGATCAAATAAGATATGAAGAGAGAATGTTTCCATTAGAGTGTCCATAGAACACTTTAACAACTTAGCATATTATTGTCATTTCATTGGCCAAGACCCAATAAAGAAATATCATCTCCTGTAACTATAGTTTTTCTTTTGCATTTCCAGTGGTTTTTGTTTTATGTATTTTGGTTCAATATTAATTTAGTGCATATAAGTTTATGATGGTATTATCAATGTGGAGTAGCCCTAATTATTATTATTTTTTTTTAGAGAGGTTTTCGCTATAGGGCACAGAGAGACAGAAAGTGAGGAATCACCCCCCTGGGGGGATGGCCACGCCGCAATCCCTTCTCCTCCATTCTCCTCTGGGGGACCCTGGGGCACGCACGCACATGCGCCCGGCGTGAGTTCTAAGCCACTGGGTCCAGGACGCGAACCGTGGTCGACTACGTGGGAGTCCAGTGACATAGCCATTACGCTAACTGCTGGTCCCAAGTAGCCCTAATTATTATAAAGCAAGCTTTTCAGTTCATTACACGTTCTTGCCTTGACTACAAGTTTGTGTGATATCAAAACTTCTGCTTCATTCTTTTTTTTCTTTTAATTGCTGCTTAATTCTTTTACCTTAAGCTATTTATCTTTGTGTCTGACACAAATATTTAATATCTATTAAATAAACATTGTCTGTCTGTTAAAAAAAAAAACCCTATCTGTTAGTGTTCTTTTTGCATTTATTTTTTATGTTTTTTCCTTCTTTTTGCTTTCAGCCTTTTCAAATACATTTGCCAAAGAGAGGTTCTTGTAGGTATAACATAGTTTAATTTAGTCTTTTCTTTCCAAATAAAAAAAATCACCATTTATGTTTATTGTAATAATAGCTGTTTGCTGTTGTTATCTAACTTTTGGATGTGTAGCCTGCTCTTCCACATCCTCTCTCACATTAGACAGTGTATATTAATATTTTTAGGTCTACAAAACAACTGAGTACATAGCAGTGCCATTACCACATATAGAAATACAGGCTTATCATGAGAGACGATTAAATTTCACTTTGGGCTTGTTAGATGGCACATAAATATGCTGTCCTCATATGTTGAAATGAAGCGTTTATTTACTTATTTTAAAAAGAATAAAAATATGATAGAGTATATGCTTATGCATAAGAGAAAGAGACAAAGATAGAGAGACAGAAAAAAGTACCCTTCATAGGTCTTTGCCACACTGTGATCCCTTTCCTCTGGTCCTCCAACCTGTCAGGATCTTGGGCACATGTACACAGGTATCTTGTGTGTTTTTAGGCCAACCAGGCTAGGGACTTGAATTGAGATTGGCATGTGGCTTCCAGCTCTACAGTCTGGTATGCTACTGACTGCCACACAGGCTGTGCTTTGAAATAAAACTGATTTATTTAAAAAATTTTTGCTATAGGGTGTGTGCACTCACTGGAGGGGGCTGGTGAAAAAGCGCTCCCTGGGGAGATGAGCACGTTACAATCCCTTCCCCTCTTGGGATTTTGAGCACACATGCACTTGTGTCCGGCATATTTTTCAAGCTTCCGAGTCTGCATTCCAACTCTAAGATTGGCCATGTAGGATCCAGCTGCCTTAACCACCATGCATGCCATCAGCTGGCCCAGAATAAAACTTAAAAAAAAGATTTAATTTTTTAGAGAATTAATTAATTAATTAATTAAAACTTGACCAGAGAGGGACAGAGTGAGAGAGAGAAAGTGAGAAGGCAAGCTGCCAGGTCTGGGACTCAAACCGCTGTCAACCACATGGGAGTCTAGCATCCTTAACCACTATGCCACCTGCCAGCCCCTATTTATTTACTTTTATTTATTATTATTATTATTTTAAAAATTTGCTATGGGGCATGTGTGCTCACCAGACATACACACACAGACACACACACACATGCAGAAAGAGAGAGAGAGAGAAAGAGAAAAAAAGAGAGAGAGAAAGTGAGCAAGCAAGCTTCCAGATCTGGGACTCGAATCATGGTCAGCTATGTGGGAAGCCAGTGCCTTAACCACCATGCTACTGGCTGACCCCAAAATAAAATTTTTTTTTTTGCGAGTTTTTTTTTTTTTTTTTTTTTTTTTTGGGGCCGGGC